CGGACCCTTCCTGGTGAAAGAAGGTCGGAAGACTCAGAAACGCTATGGCATACTCTTTTACTTGTTTAGCCTGTCGTGCCATACATGTTGAAGTTGCTTCATCACTCTCCACAGATTCTTCATAAATGCTCTGGAGGCGGTTCCAGGCAGTTAGGGGACCAGTGCGAGAATTGCGGTGTGATAGAGGCACAAACTTTGTTGGTGCCATGAATGAACTAAAGGACTCTTTTGAGACTGAGATGTTAAGAAACTACCTTTTGAAATGTAATTGTGACTTAGTGAAATTCAACATGAATGTACCTGGAGCCAGCCACATGGGTGGTGTCTGGGAAAGACAGATACGCTCAGTGCGTTCAGTGCTCAATTCCCTAATGGACCAAGTGAAGGCCCAGCTGAATGATGAATCCCTGAGAACATTGATGCTGGAGGCTATGGCGATTGTGAACAGTCGGCCGCTATCAACTGATACTCTTAATGATCCAACATCATTAGAGCCTCTGACAGCAAATCACTTGCTGACTATGAAAAGTCAGATTGTACTGCCCCCTCCCGGACATTTTCAGAAGGCAGATTTGTATGCGTGCAAGCAGTGGCGTAAAGTGCAGTACTATGCCAATGAGTTTTGGTCTAGATGGAAGAAGGAATTTCTTCAAAACATGCAGACACGACAGAAATGGACCCAACATTTCAGAGATGTACGTGTTGGCGATGTTATGATCCTCAAGAATGACAATGTACCAAGAAATCAGTGGCAACTTGGTAGAGTTGTTGAGACCTTTCCGAGTAAGGACGGACATGTTCGGAAAGTAAAACTTCAGATCGCAGATCAAGGATTAGACTCAAAGGGAAGACGGCAATCTTCCACTACCTTTCTGGAACGGCCTGTCCAGAAACTGATACTTCTCCTTGAACATGAAGAATGATTTGAACTGTTTATGCTGACTGAGCTAACTACTTGAACTGATCTGAGTGGATATGTTTGTGAACTTTGCAAGTATTGAAGTGTGAAATATCTGAAATTGAAATGATGTTTGAACATTTTAAGGTTGGATAAGATTTTATTCAAAACCGTTTGTTTTATTGAAATGTCATGTTTTAGTGAAATCTATGTTTACTTTAAAGTTTGAATGTGTGTTAAGAATTAATTTACTTGGTAACATTTAAATTGCGAGGATGAGTTAACTTGCTATATGAATATGTAAATTGCGATGGCATGAATGGAAATTAAGGATATTGCAATTATATGTGTATCATTAGTTGCAAGTTATAGATAGTTTCCTATTAAAATTAGTTTATATGCTAATTTGTGGGGAGTTTTAGTGGTATTTGGGTTGGCATTGGCAGAGGGTTGCCTCCCTTTTGTTTTGGTCCCCCTTGCGAAACCAGATCATGGCTGAAAGCACATGTCATGTTGAACTTTGCGATGTCTTCTTCGATGGACATTCATGCGATGTGAGGAACCATGGTGTTCACAAAGTTGTGAAGAGAATGTGTACGGACAAGGTTTGCGACAACTTTGTATTTTAAATGAAGAATAAATGTTGGAACTTTTATAGATTGTGTTTTGCACGTGAGTTGCTTGGAAACCTAGCGGACTACCGCTATAGGGGATGTACATACTCTGCACAGTGAACATCTGGTTCGTTATGTGGCTATCTGATCTACTTCTTTAACTAACATTGGGTAAAGGGGATGTACATACTCTGCACAGTGAACATCTGGTTCGTTATGTGGCTATCTGATCTACTTCTGTAACTAACATTGGGTAAAGGGGATGAACATACTCTGCACAATGAACTTCTGGTTCGTTTTGTGTCTATCTGATCTACTTCTTTAACTAACATTGGGTAAAGGGGATGCACATACTCTGCACAATGATCACCTGGTTCGTTATGTGTCTATCTGATCTACTTATGCAACTATCATTGGGTAAAGGGGATGTCTATACTCTGCACAGTGATCCAATGTTTGTACTCACTATACAGAATCAAGCTGACGTTTTGTTTTTGTTGTTTATCAGCAAAATTCCAGCTATATGGCGACGGTCTGTAAACAATCAAGTCTGGACCAGACAATTCAGTGATCAACACCATGAACATCGATCAACGCCATTGGGATAGGAAGACACCTGTCAACCACGTCACTGAGCCAGATCATCCGCTCAATCCCGGTGCGAGGGCTAAGTTACTGAGAACATTATTTTATGCGACGAAAAATACTAGGCCTGCGCAATATAACCGGTTTACCGGTTCAGACATGAAAACGATACGTATTGCGATACGCTGATCGAAAACCGGTATTTTGACTTCCATTCGGAAAACTTCGTAACACTCGGAAATCTTCAGATATTTCCTTTTTTCATTTGTGCCAAATATTATTCACATTTTTATTTTTAATCATGAATAAAAGTTGTTATTAAAGCTTAATCAAGCTTAGTGATTTTGCTGTGTATTTGCTCTATAAATCAAGCATTACCTCGATTATAGGTAGTTTTTTGTTTTAAAATACTTCATGCAATATATTGCAATACATATCGCAATAGATGCTTTCGCATCGCAATATATCGCAATATGAAAATTCTCTGCAATACCCACCCCTAAAAAATACCCATCGATCCTCTTAAGGGGACTCTAACGTGTATACTCCAATTGACATTGTTTCGAAGACATCATTGAACATCTTCATGTCAGTGCGGTTGAGTCATAAGACCTTCGGGTATTTACTGCCCCGTCCAGAATATCTATCTTCAGAGTTGCCTGGCTTTCAACACACTATTCTCTTTCTTTATGAACTGACAACAAACATAATCTTATGTCACGAATCTAACATCTGCCTCTTAGCGCCATTCCAATAGAGGTTGGTGGCTCTCCTCAAAGATCCGATGTCGTGAATCTATTGACATTGTCGGCAGTGATGCACAGTATGTTGGGCATACAACTTTGAATGACGTAGTACAAAAGGCCTTAGACAGTCTACAAACACATACCGTTGGAAGGCTGTCACAGAGAGTTCCTAAAGGGATGAAGCTCTGAAGTCGGTTAATGATGGCATGGGGCCACCACTGGCTTTTGGTCTGAAAACATTATTTGTTCCAGAACCTTCTGGAAAACAATTTAGCTTCATAACTATGTCCTGACATAATGAACTTGATATGCTCTTTCTCTATTGTTTGTCATACATGCAGCCGATAGTGTTGGTTTGATCTCCAGTCAATATCACAAATGTTTTTTATACGTTCTTTACATTTTCTGTTGTATAATTTTTATAATTAGAGCATAAACGCATCATCTACACAAAACACATATGTTGCAGACAAAACGGAAGAACTCCAATGTATGACACAACGATAATGTTACAGCACCATGCCGCAAACTCGCAATAAGTGCTGACGCAGTAATGTAGCATTAGCGGTAGGCTAGAGGTTCCTTTGTCGTGTAACATGAAAAAGGCATACCTGCCAACTCTCACGCCTTTGCTTACATGTCACGCTCTCACGAAAGAAAATGATAAATCTCTCAATGGTTTCATATAAAAATCACAGAAATAGAAATAGGTCTCAATGCATCGTTTTCAGTGACATTTCTGAGAAGGGAATTTGCAATTATGCTTTGGTTTTAGGGAGCAAAGCTTCCACCTTGGGCTCTGTCGGAGCTTACGGCGCTTGGACCCCAGCATCTTCTTTCTCTCTTGGGGTTGGAAGCTCGAAGAAAGATATCATGATAATTTGCTTATATCTTCAACACTCCAATGGTAAATTGCCTTATAGTTCAGTCAATATTCTTGTAGCTCCATTCTTTTGAACTTCCGAGGTAAAATAGACCAAACACGTAATGCAAAGATTTCTAACAGCATCATTCAACTCCTGTTCAAAGATTGTTTGATGGGGATTATAACACCCAGTCATTACAAACAACAGCAGTAAAATAGCGGATGAAAACATATGCTGAACATTTGGAACATTTGTGAAATCGATCCTACGATGTAAACGATTGTGGCCTTGTTACCCTGTATACCAGAGAAGCAATCCCTCATCCAGTGCCAGCCTTCAAAGACAGCGCTGTGTTTTGCGTGGACGGGGTTCGAAGGATATACATGGCGCTTCAATGAGTTTACACTACACTGGCGACGTAGGAACACGTGGAACATTTAAAAAGCACACTCACACTGATAACCATTGGTGCAATATGTAACAAGCTGTCTCGCTATACAGTAGACTGTACATTGTGTTTTATGTTCAATTATATAGACAAATGAAGAGACTGTTGAAAGACTTTTCCGGTTTTATAAATTACAATTATAATGAACAAAGTTGTTTGAAACGGCCGTAAAATCACAATGTCTTACCAAGGGCGAGCACTTCGGCGAATAAATGGGCAAATGTTGCATAACAGTGGTCAGTTTGTTCGGGTCAGACCAGAAACAAAAAACAGTATACGTTGGTGTGAGCAAATAGCTGTGTTGCTAAAGTGCGATACCACCCAGTAGAAGCGAGTGTCCCAGAGGTCACAGATGGACACTTTGTTGACTTCATCGTTGTTTAAAATGTACACTTAGAGCTCCGGCTTGGAATTCATTCTTTGCAGTTAATGCTTGTGTACATGACCACCAAAGAAGGCTTCTTGTTCATTTTTCCACGGATTTATAATAGAATTTAAAACTCAAACAAACTCAACAAAACCGACTGCTTTCACAACTACCCGGGTCAAAATTGGTCTATAGTAACCCATGCTTGTCGTAAGAGGCGACTAACGAGATCGGGTGGCCAGGCTCACTGACTTGATTGACACAGGCCATCGTATCCGAGTTGTGTAGGTCGATGGTCATGATGTCAGTCACCGGATCGTCTGGTCCAGACTCGATTATTTACAAACCGCCTCCATATATCGGCATTATTGATGAGAGCAACGTTAAACAACAAGCAAAAACATTTCACCACTATGGACAGTCAGGGAATCTCAAATAGCTCCTATTACTCTGCGGGAATTCCCTTTTCTGCATACCTGTGTCATCCATAGCCCATTAATCCTCACGTCTCCGGGTGTCATATTTAGTCGACTCTAGCCTCGACTGACAGGTAATATGAACTTTGGTTTGGTGTTACTTTCCCTCGAAGGCTACTGACTTTGTAAGCGTGTCAAGTTATGTGTGCAAATTAGAAGCTGACCTTCACGTACCGCCGCTGTATTTATTCTGTTCATCAATTTCGTCATCTTTGTCTGTGTAAGTATATAAAATTGTTTTTGATTGAATTGATGTAACGGTGTTCGTTAGCGAACGTAATTCAAGTGTTTGACTGTGTTCATTTTCGGTTCATTGGGGTATGAATCTAAAAGGACTGAGGTTTGAATCGAAAAGCACTGAGGTTTAAATAAAAAAGCACTGAGGTTTGAATCGAAAAGCATTGAGGGATAAATCGAAAAAACCTATGTGCAGTGTTTAGTCTGCTGCGCACTTCGGTTTTTCGATTAATACCTCAATGCTTTTCGATACATACCTCACTGAACCGAAAAAACACACAGTAAAAAATTCAGTGCAGCTGGTTTGGAAAAAAAATACAAACTCTTGTTGAAATCATGATTTCCATCTACCCTCCAATAAGCACTGCTCATGTACTGCTGCTTGGACACTCCGTTACACCTCACCACTGTCCATGCACTGGAGCATGTGTGACGATAACATCCATATTACCCTGTGTGTGTAATTAGTCCAGTAGAGGTTCTGGGGCATGGTTAGGGCATACTAGTTATGATGATGATGATGATGATGATGATGATGATGATGATGCACTGTCCATGCACTGGATCATGTGTGACGATAACATCCATATTACCCTGTGAGTGTGTAATTAGTCCAGTATAGGTTCTGGAGCATTGTTAGGGCCATCTCAGAGCATACTAGTGATGATGATGATGATGATGATGATGATGATGATGATGATGATGATACTTCTGTGCGCAACACCTACGGTAGATTATTTTCTAAACAGAAAATAAGACCAATGCAAATGACTGTTTTAAGCTTATTAATGAGTAAGACGAGATAACTGTTTTGAGGTTTCATTGAGTGTGAAAGCAGCCGCCATCTATCAAAAGCAAAATATTTCACCTTATTGAACGTTTTGTCTTCATCAATACTCAATGCAAACCCACGGCTATTTAATAGCTACAACTATTTAATCCACAGCTACATAAAAATGTTTATGTTATTAATTTCATGTGTGTATTTTTTGTTATTTTCGTTTACCTTCTGTCAATCCAGTTCCAAATTTAAGAAATATAATAAACCGAGTCATCATCTGTTGTCTGTTAGATAATGGCTTGGCCCAACAAGTTATTGCTAGATAATGAAGACAGATTCTCAAAGTGACAGTCTCCCATCTCTGTGTTAGAGTTGAGGGATGAAATACTTCAATCTCGGCGAATCCACAACAAGCGAAACAACTACCTAAAGGCTCATTCACACTTATTTTGAATTGACAGCAATCAAGGAGAATCAGCCAGAAAAAAAATATTTCCGAAATTCGAACCGAATTCGGGAGAGAATGTCAAAATAAACAATTTTTTCAAGCTTAGTAAGAATGCAACTCCAAAACGCTATCTGACGTTTCAGTGACAGGTGGCAACATTTTTATGCGATTCGGCGGTGTTCTGATGACGTCAGGGCTCATTTGAAGAGCATTCGGGACGTTTTGACTGTATTCGAGGTGACGTCGAGGTACATTCGAGTTGTATTCCAGCTGCAATCGAAATATTCCAATACATTTGAAGAATATTCCACCTGAATTCCAGCAGCAATCGAGATACATTCCAGGCGCATTCGGGACATTCTGACAAGATTTGAAGTGGCTTGCCTTTTCCATTCTCCCTCGAATACGTTTAGAATACATAGAATGCAGAAAGAATACATAGAATGCAGTTAGAATGCACTTCAAATGCCGGTGTTTTTTAACATGTTCAAAAGATTCGGGCATGTTACAAGAATTGACCCGAATAGTTGGAATGCATTCGGAATGCAGTAACAAATTTTAGAATGCAGTTCGAATTTCAAGGAATGTACAGGAATTTTCATTCCGACAGCATTCCGGCTCATTCCGCCTCAAGTGTGAAGGGGGTATAAGGGACGCAACTCTACTTTACACGACACAATACCACTAAAGTCGCCACAGAACACCACTCGTCAGTTTCCGTAACCTTCCGAAATAACACGATTTGTTCTTGAAATGGAAATCAAGTCTGCCACGGATTAACAGAGAAGATATTCTCCTTTTCAATAAACACATTATATCAGCATACTTTCTAAAAACAGATGGGGTGATACTGCTAGAAGCATGGCCTCGGCAACCATATACATGTACTTACAATATCCGCTAAATTCACACTGTGACAACAATTAGATCCTAGTTAGCCAAACCAGCATGTCAACTGAAATACAGTACATGTACTTACAATGTCGACTTTCAATCATACTACCCGCGTGATACTGTCATAAGAATATACTATGTAAACATAATACAATATCTACATGGTTTTGATAATCTGGAGGGATAGCAAGCGAGAAACCAAAACGGCGAGATACATTATTTTTAGTGTGTTTGTTGTTTAACGCCGCACTCAGCAATATTCCGTTATACATAATCCAATCTGGATCAGACAAACAAGGGACTGAAGTTATGACCAGCGATCTGGGTTGTCGGAGTAGTTGGACAAGCTATCGGTTAAGCACGGAGTCTGACCTGCGATCGATATAGCGATAGCTTACTTGGTCCTATTCTGGGTTAGAATTCATCTTCAGTAATCCATGCTTGCCGTAAAAGGCGACTTACGGGATCGGGTGGTCAGGCTCGCTTACTTTGTTGACAGATGCTATCGTATCCCAGTTGCGTAGATCGATGCTCACGTTGTTGATCACTGGATTGTCTGATCCAGACTCGATTAGTTACAGACCGCTGCCATATATGTGGAATATTGCTGAGAACGGCGTAGAACTAAACTCACTCACTCAGCCACTCTAAGCCGGAATAGGCAAGGAGGCCAAACACACGAGCGAGTGACGTAAAAAAATATTCATAAAATTTGTGAATGATGACAAATGTGACACATGTGTCGAAACTGATGGATAACTCTCAGGATTTATGTAATTATGACTTGCAATTATGATTGTAAAGAAGAGTATGTTCGACATAGTGCAGGTTCTATTTTCGCCATGATGATTGATGAAGTTGACAGGAGCCATCATTCAAGTTTTGGCACAGGATATGCACATGGACGGCTGGCCATCATAAAACATGCAGGCTTCCCCGTATCTGTACAATACAGATGAAAACAAAGACTAGACGTCAGTGACAGTGGGTAATCTAGCTAATGGAAACTGAGGCATGTCTGTCTGAAGCTTGGATCCCAGATGTTCTTTTCTGTGAAGGTACTGATACGTTTACCTCAGAGGATAAGGGGGTAGTGGGGAGGGGGCGGGGGTTGTGTGTTGGTGATTTTTGTACAGATGGCAACAAATATAAGCTGATGCATAATACAGGTTAGAATGAATTAACAGGCATAGCAGGGATACCTTTAGGCTGAATCCCGAATACGGGACGGTCGGTATCCCAATATGTTAACATTGTGAGGAGGGATCCTCATACGTATAACATGTTGATGTATTGCTGGAATAGGCTACTGTACAATGTATATATTATTGCTGTATTTGTCGTTAAACTTCACTCACTCACTTCTCAGTCAGTGTATGACATGACCTTACCATTGACACGTGTTCTACCATTTTCCACCCCCTGTGTCACACTGACTCTATATGTTTTACCCACAGTAGAACATGTTGAAGTGAGTGAGTGAGTTTAGTTTTACGCAGTACTCAGCAATATTCCAGCTATATGGCGTCGGTCTGTAAATAATCGAGTCTGGACCAGACAATCCAGTGATCAACAACATGAGCATCGATCTGCGCAATTGGGAACCGATGACATGTGTCAACCAAGCCAGCGAGCCAGACCACCCGATCCCGTTATTCGCCTCTTACGACAAGCATTGGTTACCGAAAGTTCATTCTAACCCGGACCTTCGCGGGTCTGATGAAGTAGACAATGTTTGGCGCGAATAGCTGCAACAGCCTATGCGGGGTAAAGCAACATTTACTCACTCACTTCAGCAGACAATAGAAAATGTTTATTACCTGGATTTGCCTTTTGATATTTACATATGAAAAATTTCACAGTTTTGAAAGAGTTTTTTATAAATCAGTGCCTGCATTCGAGATTATCTACAAAGATCGAGCATGTTCTTGAGCGTTAAACTCCTTCCGTGTGCCCTGATTCTTCCTCTAAGGGCCACAGAATTCCCAAAGCTTGCATTCCTTTACCGATAATTCTATCAGTACCGTTGAAAGATCAATCAAACTTGAGATAATAATGAATCGATACGCTCTTCACTGAGACGGAGGGAAGCCAGGAGCAAGACGCACGTTCTGAAATGTAGAAGGGCGCTCAGCATTTCCATACTGTCAAGATAACGGATCACGTACTTGTACATTCCTTCAAGTTTTCAAGTCAGGTGGCAATTGGTTACATACAGTGGCCCATCAGTATCGGGGGAAGACATTGTAAACAGTGTTGTATAGTGTCTGCCCAATCTTAATATAAATACTATAGCAGCAACCTTGAATTGAGAGTCGCTGTGGAGATTTCGGGGCAGAATATCTTCCCGTACATGCCTAATGGTTTTCACCCTGAAGGGAATTCTGAGTTAATGACCCCCATGAACCTATGCATGTCGGATGAGCCAACTTATTGGATCCTGTGGTGGGGCTTGGTTGGTTGACGATCATGGCCCGACGGCGTCACTGAATTGTCTGGTCCACAATCGGTCAATTATATACTTGAAATCATATATCTGAAGTATTATATTGAACATTACAAAATAAAACGGTTTTAATGAGCTGATTAAAAGTCACTCCATCATCACTTGTGGCTAAGTGGCTACTGTCCTTGGAAGGCAATATCGGCTATATAGCTCTAATAAGAGTTTCCATCCACAGGCAGCAACGGTCGACGGGACTGAGCGAGGTATT